TAGAAATTCCTGTTGCAACAATTTGCAAACTCTAGAGCAAAAAACTGAGGCCAATTAAATCATCAGTTCATTCTCTCAGGCTTTCCAACAACACAAAAGTTGGCTTATCTGTCCAAGCCTTATTTCCATGTGTACCTTGAGCTGAAAAATAGTTTTAGTTACACAGCTTCCTATACTCAAAAGGGGCAGCTGTCGCTCAGCCCTGGCAGACTGCGACCCTCAGAGAATGCATGTTCCATGTGACCAGATCTCACTTTTTTTCAAAAGAAGTTAGAAATCCAGGTTTTTATGAGTCTCCTGATTTTAAATGTTCGCAACAAATTCCAATTTTTAAGAACTTGTCTATGGACCAATCAACACACATCTGTAAACTGTCTCTTCTGCAACCTCACTTTGTAAAGGTTAATAAGGTCTCATGCTTCTCCAGATACAAACTCTGAGCTTTGGTAAGTCTTCAGTTTTCCACATAATACAGATTTTAGGCAAAGCAGCTCTTCGACACAAATGCCAGTCCCAACAACAGATCATGATTTCATTCTCATGCCTTGTTGAATACGGAAAATATTGAATATTTGTACTTCTTACTACTTAAACAAGAAGAATGATAAATACAGAAGTAAGCCATTTAATCTGTGTTGTAGACTGACTACCCTGTGTCAACACACTTAACTGAGAGCCAGGTTAGTGGTCAGAAGTGCCACGTATCTTCTGATTATGACAATTGGAATTTATAATACTTTTTTGCTTCTCCAAAATGAGTCAGACAAGCTTTCTACCCAGAATCCACAAGAAGAATGATGAAATATCATGTTATTTTTCTCAAGACTATCTTGATCACCATTAGTATAGACAATTTCATCTACAACTTTATACAATGGTGAATTGCCATTGTCAAAATGATGAGAAAAAACAGTATTCTCTTTGGAGCTAGTAATTTGGAGCAAAACAAACAAACCAAAAACACCCAAACACACACAAAATTTATATAGTTACATGGGGCGGGCGGGGGGGGGGGGGGGGAGGAAAACCAATGTTGAGTAACACCAAAAAAAAATGACAAAGAGATAATCAGGGAAAATAATTAACGGATACTGAGAACCTATCTATAAACTGGATACCAAATATCACATAGTTTTTGTAAAAGTTGGCTCTCACGTTCTCAGCGTGAACTTTAGTGATTTTAAATTCAAAGCAGTAGGCTCATGAAACTAAAGAAGTATTGAATTTTGAAGAAATTATGGCATTCAGGAAACAGCAACAAGGTAACCAACTTAGCGATCCGTTCAAGTCCCTGCCTCTGAAAGTCACATTAGCTCACCCAGGCCTTGCCTTTCCATCTTCCTCCCCAACTTGCCTGTCCACCACTTCTCTGTACCTCTTTTGGGATATAGGGAATGTGCTTAAAGGGTGTAAATCTACGAACTATACTACCCTTTGTCTAGTTCTGAAAAAACACTCAATGAAAAGAGTATGAAACTACAATAAAACTTTTTCACTATTGGTACATTTTACTTAACTGATTAACCGTGTTTTCCATGACTGACTAATTGGACAATGTGGACAATAACAACATAGAAATTACAAGAAATTACTAGATGAGGGATTCCTCCTGATGTTTGGTACAATGTTGACCTAAAAAGCAGAATTTTCACAACTGGAGCTAATTGGAGGTCATGGTATCTGTTATCCTAGGACTACGGAAAACAAGGTCAGAACAAAGCAAGCCATATTATCCAACTTAACACCCCGTTTGCAAGTAGTTGTTTACTACACCTTAAAATATCCCCAAGGAAGTTACATCCATGTGATATAAGCATGCTGTGTCCAAGAGGGCAATTTACCATTATAAATTATCCTAGTTTGTGTACAGAAACCAGTAGATATTTGCAAATTCATTTCCAGGTCACTGAAGATAAAACCCAGAAAAACCTATTTTCCTCCATGTGGTGAAAGCAAAGAGATTACTTCTGCAGTGGCGCTGCCTGTTCTTAAGAGTTATTCTCTAAAACAGGGTCATATAAGAACATTTTCACCCAAATACTAGCTATAAACAATTAAGACATGATTTACTGAGATACATGCTATTGTGTATGTTTAGGTTTTTAGCCAATTAATACTATATTAATAAAGACTGGAAAGTTTAAGAATAAATGAACTCTAACCAGTACGTTTCAGCAGAGTTAGCCAGAAAACATTTCTACTAGGCCCAAATGAAGTATCTTTCATTCATTAATACAGAACCACAGGGCATACTTAGACATCAGAGGCTCAACCATCTAAAAAGAGTTCCTAGGGAAACAAAAACTTTCCATTTTCATTCTGTAACTGCTCCTTAACTACAGAAAGTATTCTTTCTTTTTTGGCATTCTCTCTTTTCTCTCTACCTCGGGACATATTTACAGATGCACTGTCTGCTTTACAGACATGCTAAAAGTTCGTGCTGTGGTTGATCAAAGTTGGAATGCCTGAGGAAATTACTCAATTCAGACAGCCCGGAATTGTATCTAGCCAAATAGTTACAGTGCTCTACTTTTAACATGTGTTAAAGTAATATTTTAGCCATGCTGGGTGTAAGTTAAGAGAACATTTGTTTGCATCACACTCTGTGAACAGTTGAGTCAAATATAGTATGTTGAATACCCAGTTTTATTATCTGTGACAGTTCATTTTTTTAAGTGTTCAATTACACACAAAAAAACATAGTTTATATTAAAAAAAAAACTAACACGCAACAGCATATGTATTAGGAACTAAGACTTGTTAATGATCTTCTTGAAGTGTCCAAGCTCTTCTACTGAATAGAAATTTAGAATAAATGCATCAAATATTGCTTTTGTTCATTAGAGCATTTGTTGATCTGGCATGCAATATTCTGTCAAAAAACAGAACCACCTTTTTTCTCTACTTTATTATTAAAAGTATTTTAATAAAAAAGCACTGCCTACCTGTATTCACCTCCTTTCCATTATTAATCTGCATAATTTGCAAATAAAGACATAGCAAAATTAAGTAGAAAAATCACATCACAGCAGTTTATTTTCATGGGTTTTTTTTTTTTTGTTAATTGAAAGCCACAGAATTGCAGTACAAAGAGTTACTTGTCAAACATAACACAAATCTCTAACATAAAATATTGGCTTCCATAGACCTGCACATCTGAAATAGTTTTAAACTTTGTTTTAGTTGGATTCTTTACAATGTCCAGGAGGAGGTTAGTGCACACGGTACCTGAAATTGTCTTTTCCACATGAGCTACAATAGAAAAAGACAAATGTAGCTGTTTCTCTAGTAAAGCCAAACTTGGCATCTACTTATACTTCCCTTCAACCTAAATAACTATACCTTTTAACCACGTTGACAATAATATGGAAATATCACTCAAAAAGAACCTAACAGACCACGGAATTATAATAATGTAAACTATCCTTCTATCAAATGTGAAGTGAGGACATGGTAGATTGGAGGGGTGAGAGGGGTGTCACTAACTTATAAGTAGTAACTTATAACTATGCTTTTTATTTAAAAGATTTCCAACCCACTAGAAAATGTTAACATCTGTACATACTCCAAAAGAGGAAAACAAAAATAAGTTCCCCACTCAGAATTTTCTGAGAAGGCTAGTAAATGTTATAGTGTTGATACCCTATGTTATACGCATGTCATGAACTGTCAGGAAATGAGTATACCGTGCAGGAGGCTGGACCCTGAGTGGGAATGACTGCCAGTAAAACCTCCCTGGCAGTGGGAATGGCCAAAGCACTATTCTCAACTGGGATGCCTAGGATTCCATTTTAAACTGTTTGCTCTGCTATAGGGAGATGCAATCCTTCATTATTCTAACACTTAGGTAAAGCCTGCTGTACACATAAAAATTAGACAGCAGGTAGACAGAGAGAATGAGTGGGGAAAAAACGGAAGTAATGCTTTGTTCTGCTTTGTAGCAGGATTTAGGATATGATCTTGATGAGATTCCTAAAAGTTATACAACTTAAGTTCCTCCTCATTCCCTTCCAGATTCTGAATACAGTCCTACATTTGAGAGATAGACAAAAACTTAAAATCAAAGGCAGTCTTTCAGATTGACCTTCATGATATCAGCCTGTGATTTGCTGAGCACAGAAAAATCTTCTTAGCCTAGCCCTTCATTACCAAAAGCTAAAAAGCAAAAAACCAGTAGATGTTAGATTATAAAATTGATGCCCCAAAGAATATAGATCCAAACACACACACACACACACACACACACACACACGACACATATGAAATGATTCAATAATCACAGCACTATAAATCCAAGGGCCAATAAATCTAATATCTCTATTAATTTAGAAGAAGACATTTTACACTCAATCCAAAAGTCTAAATTGCTGCCACATAACCAAAACACAGAATTACCACCAATTCCACCACACTACCAAATGTAGCTTTAAGTAGCTCAAAGCTGAATTCTAAAATGTAGTATATTCTTGGAGAATAATAACTCCCAGAGCAAAACAAGGGCTCATACATAAAGCTACAAGCTCCTTAGGAACTGCTAAGTCTGGTCTCAGACCATACTTTCTACCAGATTCAGCCAAGATGAATTCATCTGATAAGTTCCACAGAACTCATCAAGAAATGGCTAGAAAAAGGTGAAACTGTTTTCATGTTCCCGTCAGTACAAAGCTCTGTAACATAACAAGCTCTGTACTTAAGTGTTTTGACTTGGCCAAAAACTAATACACAGTTTTGATGCAGTGTAAAAATTAATCTGAAATGTAATAACTGATTCAGTTCTCTTTTTATTCTAAAAAAAGTTAAAAGAAAAAAAAATCACTGCTTTTCCTTAATTAAGCAGGTACTTTGTGCTAGAGAGCGTGTTTAGTTTCTAGGGTCTGAGGAAAAGAACAGATGCATCTACTGTGTAAACACAAACAGTAAGTTACAAGTTGCCCCTTAGTACTAAAGGCAAGAATCAGCATCAGTACTCAAAAAAGTGTTTTAAAAAGAGTGTAACTTACTTTTACTGCCCCAGGCTAACTGGGCTCTGTCTGGTGCTTCTTTGTCTGCACTTGGCCACCCACAGCCTGTCTTCTAATTAACTCAATGCTCTATAGCAGCAGAACAAGCAAACAAGTTGCCTCCCATCTGCGTACAGCTCTTCAGGACACATTTCCCTTGGTCAGAAGGTGGAAATTCTTGGGAGAGGTGATTTTTCTCTGCCTCTTCACAAGAAGAACATGGACACTTGGCTGGATGCATTTCCGTGAAGTGTAACTGTGTGTGTACACCTCAAAAAATAAAAAAAATAAATAAAAGAAAAAAATGCAGAGAAACATAAAGACTCTATAAACACCTGGAATACACAGAAATACTGAAGCACCCCTGGAAATACTGCTAAACAGAGCAAAATATGGTCTTTGACTGAAATAATCAATGATACCAAGTTGAAAAAAAAAAAAAGTAAAAAGAGCATCTGAAGTCAAAATCCAAATGTCATGCAATGAAAACATTTTAAGTACTACAAAGTAGAAAAGGTAAAACTCCTTGCTTCGCATACTTAAAAACAGGAACCCCCTCCCCATTACAGAGAATAAAAGATATTGTCAATGGAAGAGAAAAATTAGACTTTCAGGGGTAGTAGGTCTAAAATTAGACTCCTCAGTCACATGGTTAACGGGCACTTGTGTGTATGTGAGCTAAATGCATCGAGCTGTCTTTCCAATGTGTTCAGCCCTGTCCGGGAGCGGAGGGGAGGAGGAAGCAAGGAACCACTTAAATACTCAGCTACCCTTTGCATATGAAAAGATGATTTCTGCAAAACAAAAAAATGTGCAGAAGAACAAAGATGCTCATTTATTTAAATAATTTTTAACCTCTCAAATAAACATAAATGAGTGTAAAACAGATGCCCCTACTTTTTTGCAACAAAAACCAAACACTGAAGTGGGGTAGGGACGAGGTGTGGTTAAGCATCTAATCACAAAGAAACCCCACAACTGAATTTGCTACAGGCTTGGCGAGAGACAGGGGGTTATATCAGACCTTCCCAATATTCCCTCCCATCCTAGATATGCCCATATGCCAGGAGCAAGCCACAACCATCTTCATGACCCCTAAGCATCCCAGGGACTGGCAGGCCTTCTCTCCCCCTGAGGCACACAAACAATTCCAGCCAGAAGCATAAGGCCAAGGGAAGGGTGTGTGGCCTAATCCTGCAGCTGCACAGAGGCCTGGGCTGTGGTCCACCAACAACAGACTACTCAATGGTGATGACATTCTGGAGACCCCTGCTTTATAGAAATGCATGCAGAGCTGGCTCTACATCTCAGGATGTAAAGGTCAGATAAATGCATAACAATATTACATATAATAATATAAATATACAGTAATGCAAATACCTACATTTTTTCTCTCACACCCCAAACTATCAGCCATCTGGATAAGAAGTTACTTTTTAAAGGAATTTCTAGAGTTTATAAGCAAGCATCATATTGGATTATATAGAGATCCAAAGACAATGGACCATTTTTAGCAGACATAAAAACTTGTGCCCAATATAAACTGCCGTTTAAATGCTAAAGCATTTGGACAATAAACAAGTTACGACCATGAATTACCATCTCCCCTGACCATAGGAAGACTTAAAGAATGAAGCAAGTCAACAAAAGAACAGCAGGGTCCACTTAGAATAACATAAGTTCAACAAAACATTTTTAACAAGGGAGCCTGTGCAACTTACCTTTCACTATATGAAATTTAAAAGCTATATCTATCACTATTGCTAATGCATAGTATTCTACCTACCAAAATAATCAGTTTTCAAAATGAATTAACCAAAATCTCTCAAAGCGTACACTAGCCAGCCAGCCCGATTCATCAGTTTCCTCACAAAACGACAAGTAACCTCTCAAAAGTCTGTCAGTCATATTTCACCTATTATTCCTTATTAGAACTTTTTAAAGCACATCTTCGTACTTCTTAAGAAAAATATATTGACGTGCAAAGGGCGCTTCAGTAAGCATTTTATGAGTTCATTTTCTGTCAGAATCTATGAAAAGCTCTCTACTTTAGCAGTGGCATCATGACTCACCCAGATCTATATCTAATTTTCTCACATAAGAAATTCATATCAGAAGCTATACATGTGAAATGTGAAAAACTGTGGTCTAGAATTTTAAATCTACTGTAACTACCCGAACCAAAACTATTTCAAAAGCAGGCATGAAAACAACTGTCTCCCAAATGCACAGCCCTAGGTATGAAGATCAAATTGTTTCACAAATTTATCTTCTCTGCTGTGAGGGAAATCAGGGTTGATCAAGTCCCTTTCCCATCAGGTATAAAAAGAATCTCAAAAAAACTATTAATAGTTAAATGAAACAATGGGACCAAATCACTTTAACAATAAATTATTAAAATATGATCTATAAAACTGACCTTTCCATTTCCTTCACCACATTTTGAAGATAAACAATATGCACTTTGGCATCATCTCATTTTCAACTCCACACTGCAGAACACCTCTCATACAAATGGCCACCTTCCCTCCCAAAACCCCAAAGGAAGAAGCTAGTCAGTTTACTAGGCAGGAACTTATGCGCATGCCCCCCACCCCTTATTTGTATGAAGGAAACACTCCCTCTGGTGCCCAGAAGTTGTAGTCTTATGATAACACCACTTGTTTGTCCTGGTGGATGAGAAAAATGAAACTACACAAGGGAATGGGATTCCAAGAAAAGCTCAAAAATGATTTGTCTAAGTAGCCCCTGGTTAAGTTACAGAGGCCACCGAAACACATTTTTTTCTATTATAAATTTTCTTTTCTTTCACCTTGTCTCTTCCTCCTCCGTGGCAACAAGTTGAGGTCAGTGTAGTCCTCACTATTTGCGTAAATGCAAATTTTCATATTTTCCAAAATACAAGGCCAGATACCCCTTCTAGCCAATAAGGACCATTAAACCATTTCAGTCATTTCAATCTACAGTTAGTAAAGTCCTCAGGAAACTCAAACCAATTTTAGTTATCTGCCTAAGTAATAATGTAACAAACAAGTTTAAAAAGCATGTTTTTTTTTAAGTCAAAAGTATATCCCAAAGTCAAAAGACAAAGGTATAACGATCGACCATATCTATCTGATAATTAGGACAAAACTTAGCTCTACTAAATAGACTGATCAAAACTAAAGATAAGTGGTTACTCTCAAATTAAACATAACACAGTATAAATCAGACTCTCTGGGAATTTTCAGTTGGCTGAAAGGACTTAATATTGTTACTTATATTTCTCTAGGTACAGAAAATACAAGAATCCAATTTTTATATATCTTTCCATTGACTCAAACTATTACAATACCTCTTTGATTAAACTCTTTATTTGAAGACTTCACCCTATTCAAAGGTGATGAATCACAATTATGCAAGGTGACTGAAACTGCAGGGGGCAGTATATGCATGACTTCCAACATAATTCTTAAGATTCAGGCAAATTCCTCCAGTTAGTGTAGGCTTAACCTTTAAACTACTGACATATATTTCAATCAAAGATCCCAGATAAAAATGAATTTTTCAAGATAGTTCATTGAAATTCTTCCCCAAACTTAATAATTAAAGGGAGGAAAGTACACTAAACTCACTCAGGCCATATAACATAGTCCAATCAAAATAATAGAACACATTTGTTTTTTTAAAAACCTTCATATCCACACTCTTAAAAAACACAGGTCATCATTCAAAACTATAAAGCTCATTTACTCACATGTAACTCATTCCAAAATGTATTTTAAATCATTATTAAGTATACATAAGTAAACTCTTTAAAAGTAGGATTGATACATCATGGGAAAAATGTAATGAAATACTGGGCATGATATAAGTAGGACCTGAGAAAATTAAAGTTATTCTAAGATGAAAAGAAAAAGGAAAACTTAATTTTACTCAGTGTTGTATTCATAGTTGCCATTATGGTACAATATATACCCAGCTATTCATTAATCTTCTTTCCCCAGACCCACACGGGCTCCATGCACCTGTAACCTCAGGACATCGTCTTCTACACAAAGAAGAGTAATTTGCAATTAATAACTGAATTAAGTTAGATGAAGCTTTCCTTGTATGTGTTTTGAGTAAAGGTAAGATTTGGTGGTAAGCACATCAATCTTCTTCCTTGTGTCACTTTTGCCCTTTTACCCACAACATATAATTAACTTTCCTTTGACAATGTAAAGAGTTAACATAAATATTCGCCTCATAGATATAATTTCCAAAACACCTCACAACAATAATAGCTACTAACAGTTACAAGGTGTTTACTATGTGCCTCATACTGTTCTAAGTGATTATCGTATGTTAACTCAATCTTCATGACTCTGTAAAGTAGAAATTATCATCCCCGTATTATAAATGGGTAAACTGAGTCAGGGAGAGTCTGTGAGGTGCCCAGGGACTCATCGCTACTGATTGGTAGAGCTCGTATAAGATGTATCAGTCTCAACAGGAAGGAGACCACATATCCCCAAGTCACACACCTCAGGGACCAAACTACAGTGGAACTGGTGCCCACCATATATTCACCTTTGTTGACTACATACCCTAGGACCAAGCTCAAAGTGTTAACAAGATAGAGTACAATCTACAGAGCACGATTAAAAGCTTAACTCTGCAATTAACCAGGGGAATATACAGAAAACATGTCTAGGACTTTTGGTAAACTCCTGGGCAATCTTCGCAGGTAAAAACAAGGTCTGGCTTGTCAGGGTAGGTGCCCTGATATGAGAGCCTAATCCAGTCAATTTGGGACAGTCTACTCTAATACCTCCTCCCTCAAACTCATCCCTGTTTTATCTTCATGTCTTATTTGATTCCCCTAGTTATCTTCTCAAGCAAATAACTATTTGTTCACTGTTCTCTAAACCAGGGGTCCCCAACCCCAGGGTCATGGACTGCTACTAGTCCATGGCCTGTTAGGAACTGGGCCGCACAGCAGGAGGTGAGCAGTGGGTGAGCGAGTGAAGCTTCATCTGTATTTACAGCCACTCCCCATCGCTCGCATTACCACCTGAGCTCCGCCTCCTGTCAGATCAGCAGTGGCATTAGATTCTCATAGGAGCGCAAACCTTAGGGTGAACTGCGCACGCAAGGGATCTAGGTTGCACGCTCCTTATGAGAATCTAATGCCTGATGATCTGAGGTGGAGCTGAGGCAGTGATGCTAGCACTGGGGAGCGGCTGCAAATACAGATTATCATTAGCAGAGAGGCTTGACTGCACAGAGACCATAATAAATCAATGGCTTGCAGACTCATACCAAAACCCTATCAGTGAGTGGCAATTAAGCTGCATCTTACGGAATAGACTGGACATAAGCCACACTTCGGGTGTCACTGTCTCCCATCACCCCCATATGGGACCATCTAGTTGCAGGAAAACAAGCTCAGGGCTCCCACTGATTCTGTATTATGGTGAGTTATATAATTATTTCATTATATATTACAATGCAATAATAATAGAAATAAAGTGCACAATAAATGTAATGCACTTGAATCATCCCAAAACCATCCCCTCCCCTCCCTGAGTCTGTGGAAAAATTGTCTTCCACGAAACTGGTCCCTGGTGCCAAAAAGGTTGGGGACCACTGCTCTAAACTGACTTACACTAATCAACCTTCTCTAAGTTTGAGCAACAGAAGTCGGTCTTCTGAAGCCCTCAGTATCCCCTGGACAAACTCATCCTCAGGGTTCCAGATTAAGACAATTAACAGACCCTCACTCTGGAGGAGCAAGGATTACAGTCAACTTGAGAACCTCCTCAATGAATTCCTCAATGTCCACAATTAACTGGAGACCAACCTATCACACTGGACAAGACACACCTCACAGAGCACAGCTTCAGGATATATATCCAACTGCTAAGTTTGTGAGGAAACTTCCCCCTCCACTTTGGACACTTGTAGACAGTTGGAATTTTTTGTTTTCTAAACAACAGAACGTATATTACTTTCAGGAGGTGTTAACTTCAGGAATTTCTCTTCTGAAAGTATTCAGGAAATTCAAGCATCCAATCACCAGTAACTTGTATTCATGAATCTCACAAAACCAGGGAAAAATGAATTTAACCAACTTTTTTATATTACTCGGAGAAGTCTCCAATGAGAACAACCTAACAAAATCACAGGCTTCTTCATACCTTGTTAATATTGTTGAGAAACGCTGGTCATATAATTGATGGTTGACTAAACAACAGTTTCATGTCATTTAAGAATAATGAACATAAACTCACAAATATTTTAAATGAAACAAATAGAGAAAAGAAATACCTCAAGTTCCACGAGGGCTGCAGTCACTGCATCTGTTGCAAGGGCACCAGCCTGTAGCTTTTCAATTGCCTATGAAACCAAGGGGCAAGATTATTCATTTTAAAACCACAACTTCTTAAACATACCCAGAAACTTTCCAAAGGCTTGAAGAAGTGTAGGAGACATTCAGAGTTAATAAAAATTGATCACTAGAGTTCCGTTCCATACCTCAAGACATAAACGACTTAGATTTAAGATAAGCAATTATTCAGGATAATTTATAATATAGCTCACTTATTATTATTCAAATTAAGACAATGAATAAATTTAGCTACTAAATACAAAATGCAAGGAATTTAGTAAGTGAAAGGGCTTCATTCATCACAGGGCAGTTCACAGAACCATAGAAATTATATGAATTCCATTTTGAAATTTGAATTCATATTTTATACAGACTAAGCTAACCATTTCTCATCCCACCATTACTACTCTCTCTACCCCTAACTATAAAAAGTAGTTACTCTCAGTCACAGAGGCATTTCAGAACCCTTAGATGGAGCATACATTTGACAAAAGCATTTTTGATTCTATAAGGTATTCTACATCGAGATAAACATATAATATTCTTTTGTAATATAATCTATAGAGAGCAAAGGTCACTAAAATCACCTTGCTTCTTAGGTATAAACTAAGACAGGAAAGAAAGAGAAGGAAGACTGATTTTTAAATGAATAACTGAAGCTCCGATTTAGTCAACAAAGATCAAAAACTAAGCACTGTATTCCTCATGAAACTTTTAAGAAGTTCATTTGTTGTATAAATTAAGGAGGCTGGTTACACACTCTAAATGTATTATATACAGAACTATATTCCTATAAAACCATTTCTTCTCAGATAACAAAAAGATTTCACACTTTGAAAAATAAGATAAAGTAATATAAAATAGCTTAAAGAATATTTACCTTTATTATAAATTTTTTTTAAAAAATGAAATCCCTATAACCAAATATTCTTATTCATTTATGAGATTTCATTCATCATAAGAAAAATCTTGGATCGCTAATAAAGTATAATCTTTAAATGGTATGTAAATATAAATGAAAAGAGCTGGGAGACCCCTATTTACTTGATATGCAATGTCCAATTAACATTCTATTTGCATAAAAAGTAATGGAAGGTTTGCCTACAAGAGTATACAGTCAGGATCAAAATAAAAACAAACAATATTTCTTCTGAGTCCATTCCTGCCTCCACATTAAGTATTCAACAATTTAGCAAAACCTCAAAAAACAAAGATGAAAAAAAAAAAGCACAACTGAGTACAAGGGCAAAGTTAAACTCAGGAATGACAATGAATTTGCTATGATAAAAATTACGTGATGGAAAAACAGAAGGAAAAAGTACAGGATAATCTCCCTAAGAAGAATGCCCATTTTAATTTTTTATTATTTTTTTTCTTCCCTTCATAGAAAGACACATTGGCTGCCTTTGAGCTGTTTTCCCTACCCCTTCTATAGAGCTCAGTGCCGTTTCAAAGATATATGATTATGTGCCCACAATTCCAAAAATACAGACTTTGATCTGGGAAAGGAAGGAAAAGATCTAAACATGATTTGGAGAATAAAAAACACAAAACAAAACAAAAAAAGACCCCACAAATACGAGCAAAATTACTTTGTGGCCCAAACCAAAGACTGCCTTATAAATTAAACCTTAAAATTTTGAATTTCAAGGTAAAGCTGCTTTTGGTCAAAACTAAACTGTTTCAGTCAGACAGAATACATTCTCTTCATACCTTCTGACAAGCTCGTTTGCATACGTGTTTATATTCCTTGGCTTTGGATTCAGAATGATAACCTGCACCTGTAGTGAAAAAAAAAACAGTCAATTGTCAACTGTCATTAAGATATCAGAGACCTTGCTTATATTATATAAATAGCTCATATAAACTGATGCTCTCCTAGTGACAATAAAACTATTGTCCTAAGTGCATGGAGTCTTAAAAATCTAACAGCTTCTTTCTGCACCATAAGCCTTTTTAATACCATGCCTTATCTCCTCTTTCAAAAGCTATTTTCCTACTAGAGGCACCAGAAATAGCTTATGTCCCCAGAGCAGCTTCGCCAAGGTCACCTCTCCTTTCGAAAACTTCTCCAAAGTTAGGAGTTTTTTAGCTGGAGTTGATAACCCAGGCAGTGTCAAGGACAGAGTCCCTCTAAGTTCCTCTCTGTTGACCTTTGTAAAGTCCCTGCCAGAATTCTTAAGAGTGACTTCAGAAAACTAGGTAGTTTCTGAATAATACTTGAAGTTGAGGGGTGTTATATCCCACCTGTCAACAACCACCACCAATATCACCATTCCTACCCAAACTTTTCCATCCGCTCACCCCTGGAATGTAGCTCAGGGTGTCTCTGAAATCTCAGTGATAGTATATTCACAACTGCCTATTAGAAATCCTGGTGGTCCCTGTCTCTTAATCGAACACCCAGCAACTTCCTCAAGAGAATGGCTCTGAAATCTGTTTCCCTAAAAGGAGTAATACTTGCTTAGTTAGGGACTTGAGAATAACCTAAACAAGAAAGAAACCAAGACAAGAGCCCTTAATCAAAGTTCTTTAACTTTTTCTGAACCTCCCCCTCAGCCCCCATCCCAGCCCCCTGCTGGGCCCCGAAGGGGTCCAAAGTAGGGAAGGTTAAAGAACTACATCTCTGTATAGCTGATTCACTTTGTTATAAAGCAGAAACTAACACACCATTGTAAAGCAATTATACTCCAGTAAAGATGTTAAAAAAAAAAAAAGAACTACATCTCTAAGCCTCAGGGCTTCTCCTGTGAGACTGCAGACTATCACACGAACTTAACCCACCTTTCACCAGGGCAGAGAAAAAACGAACCCAAGAAGCTATAAGGGACCCAAGAGAACAGAAAAGATGCCCAAACAACACAAATCCATAACACACGCAAATGCTAGTCCCATTTCTCAAGCAAACTCTGAAACTTCACAGAACCTGCGCCAATATTTAACAGGACTCTCTTCATGGTTCTCTAATAAATGATCCCAGGTCTGTTGTCTTAGCAGGCCCCAAACTTTGAGCAGTGTTTCCCAAACCATGGGATACTATAGCCAAATAGATAATTTTAGTGTGTGGATAACAGCACTACTAGCATTAACATATCAATCCTCTACTTAGAATAGGGAAACCATCTCAGCATGACTCCAGGAGATCTTTAATACCTGATTAACACTTGCTAATTCCTCTACTTAACAAAGGAAAGGTAAGCTTAGGATCTAAGCAGCTGACAAGCAACAGAACCTAACTAAAATTTAATCACACTGGGGTTTTTTTGCACTGTGTTTAAATTATTTTCTCTTCACGCATGTTATACCAACATTCCACTTAATTAAAGATAAGTTTCATCTTTAAAATGTTAAGGTTAAAAAGTGTTTATCTTTTTTTAATATTAGGTAAAATATAGGTAGTATACAGATCTGGGGCAAAGCAAGAATCTCCTACTCAAATGACTAAAACATGGGCAAGTCTCCTTTAGTGCTAAAAAAAAAAAAAAACACTTTTAAAATCTCTACACTGGAATTGAAATTTTGTTCCTTAAATGTACAAGATACATAATGCTGCATAATCAATCACTCTATCTGAACTTCTAATAATTTAGAAGGGGAAGGTCACCCTTCATCCATACAATTTCCTGTCATAACCCAGATTTCCTCCTATTACAGCTGGCCCCCGGCACCAACTTTGTCTAAGAGCCACAGCCATCAGGGTGTGTCTGAGACAGTGGGGAGGCCACAACGACTGTCACAGAAGGCAAACCTTTCCAACTAATCAAAAGCTCCACGTTGTTGCTTTTACACATCTCAGTCCTTTCTTGGACATTTTTCAAATACTCATTCTGAATGAAATAACTCACTGGGTACTATGAAAGATGCACCACCACCATGGTGTAGTAGAAAGAACACTGGACTAGGAATCTGAGTTGTTTCTATAAATTTACCTCACTTCTTTGAAAAATCATTTGAAAGAAAAGGAAACTGAACCTGGTTTTTGTTTTGTTTCTAGATTCTTCTGGATTCGGTTCTATAAGGTTCCGGAGTTGTCTGTGCAGTTTAGATACAGCCAAAAGTTAATGACCAGGAAGAACACCAGTTTGACAAGAAGAAACAATTCCACCCCTCACCCCGTATCAAAGCTAATCTTGCTGCCATCCTGCATGACTGTCTGAGGAAAGTTAAAAGGAAACCCAGCCATTCCTTCTTCCTTCACAGAGGTCATGAACTTTAGACGCTAAATGCAGACAAATAAAAATGGCTAAAGAAAAAGGGGGGGAAAAAAAAAGACCTACGTAGGGCTGCACTGCTTAGAAACCCTAGAGGCTTCGATGATGGGGACTCAGGGGTTGAACTCACTGTGTCTGTCTTCAAGGTACTCTGAAGTAGAGATTACAGGCTGATGAGGTGCCAAGAGCACTAGACTGGGACTTAAGGGCACACTTCAGGGTGTCTCAGCCTGGCTCTTGTACGAACTAGCCATGTGGCTGAAGCCACTTAATCTCTCTGGTTTTAAGGTTCCTCTTTTATAATATTAAAAAGGCAAACTAGCTCTAAGACTGTGTAAATTATACTCTAAGTTGGACAAAGTCAAAAATGGGGTCAATAAAATTTTTTCAGCAGCATTATTTTTAAAAACACAAACCAGAGTTTAAACAATTACTGTGTCTGGTTTTAACAACACCTAAATATGGGGTAAAAGTAAATAATAGAGTAGGTGAGTGAAGGAGACAAAGGAAGAGCCGTCATTATAAGATCTTCTAAGTGGGGAGCTAGGGGGAGGCCCTCACTCTATGGAAGTCAGTCTCTTTGGTTCCAGCTCCTCTGGCAGTTTGCCTCCTCCAGATATGAAATTCAATTCCTGGTGTACTTCAAGGCAAGGGAAAAAAACATTATTTTCATCTTCCAACTCACCCACTTAGAGCTTACCTGCATGCACCAACACAAAGCCCCCTCGCTTCTCTTTATGGGGCTGCTTTGTTTCCAACTCTTTAGCTGTTATTTTAACAGCCGAAACCTGAGATGATCTGGAAGGTAGTCCTTCTCCAGAACTCATCCCCTTCTCCATGGTCATTCTCCAAGATCACCATCTTCTACTGGGAAAAGAGCATACTTCCATCCAAAAGTAACTGCAGGAGAGGAATTACTCTAAAGGAAAACAGGCAAAGAGGGTTTGCATTTCTTTCCACTAACACACACGTAACATACAAATTTGTGCACAGATAACTTTCAAAAAAAAATTAAAAACCTAATTTTAAAGTTATTTAACTGGGTAATACAAAGAATATACAAAGGTTAGAATTTAAATCTGTCTGTCCACTGACAGCAGTTGCTTGAAGTCACATAAACAAAAGAACTGTTGTAAAAAGACTTCATATTGAGTCCAAAGACATTTTATCTTTCATTTTATCTACATTGAAGAAAACCACAACATAACTTAAATATCACTTTCTACTCCCTCCAAACCAAATGCTAATAACCTCTGGGACATTCTAGAACCACAGGCAGTGCTGGCAACATCACTGAGCCTTGATATAAAGCCTAGATTGCTGCTTATTTTTTTCTCCAGGTTTATTGAGATATAATTGACATACACCAGTGTATAAGTTTAAGGGGTACAACATGATGATCTGATACATGTATATACTGCAAAATGATTGCCACAACAAGGTTAGTTAACACATCCATTACCTCACATAATTACAATTTTTGGTGTGTGGTGAAAACATTTAAGAGCTATAGATTGCTGCTTGCTTAAAGAAATGAAGCAACATACAGATTTACATCTGCCTGTGAAGAACCACTTAAGAAAAACAGTGTAATACTTCACAGCTCAATCAAAAGACAAATGCTGGGACTTCTCTGGTGGCACACTGGTTAAAAATCTGCCTGCCATTGAAGGGGACACGGGTTCAATCCCTGGTCTGGGAAGATCCCATATGCCGCGGAGCAAGTAAGCCCGTGCACCACAACTACTGAGCATGCGCTTTAGAGCCCACGAGCCACAACTGCTGAAGCCCGTGTGCCACAACTACTGAAGCCTGTGAGCCTAGAGCCCATGCTCCGCAATGAGAGAAGCCACCGCAATGAGAGAAGCCAACACAATGAGAAGCCTGCATACATCAACCAAGAGTAGCCCCCGCTCATGGCAACTAGAGAAAGCCCACGCACAGCAACAAAGATCCAACACAGCCAAAAACAAATAAATTAATTAAATACATTCATTAAAAAAAAGACAAATCCTAACAAAATTATATGACTAAACCAAGAAATTAAAATAACACTTGCGCATACACTTGTTAATTTTCATGAAAGCGTTATTTCTGAGGTTCTCAAAAGATAAATGATAAAATACAAAACTTAATAAAACAAATTACAAGCAACTTAAACCACAAAGTTTCCAATTTTTCTCACAAATTCACAAGCTTCTAGCAATCTTGGCTTAATAACAATAACGATGGCAGAACACACTTCAGACTGGGGAAAAGTGGATCATTTAAAACTCGACAGAGGGCTTCCCTGGTGGCGCAGTGGTTGAGAGTCCGCCTGCCGATGCAGGGGACACAGGTTCGTGCCCCGGTCCGGGAGGGTCCCACGTGCCGCAGAGCAGCTGGGCCTGTGAGCCATGGCCGCTGAGCCCGCGCGTCTGGAGCCTGTGCTCTGCAGCGGGAGAGGCCACAGCGGTGAGAGGCCCGCGAACCACAAAAAAAAAAAAAAAAAAAAACTCGACAGAGATTTGAAGAAAATACCAGAGTCATGTGGTTGAAACTACTTAAACACCTAGATTCACACTGTTAGGTAAAAATGTATACCTTATTCTAAATTGAGAAATGGGGAAGGAGGAGCACAAGTCTTTTCTAATAGAAAACATAAATAGTAATGTAAAGAGTGACTTAGCCAACTAGTCCAAAAGAACAGTGTTACTCAAAGTGTGGTCTGCAGACCAGTGCTTACCAGTCTGCAAGAGATTATTATTTTATTCATATACTAATTGCCTTATTTTTTTTTATTGGAGTAAAATTGCTTCACAATGTTGTGTTAGTTTCTGCTGTACAGTTAAGTGACTCAGCTATATGTATACCTATATCCCCTCCCTCTTGGACCTCCCTCCCACCCCAGCCCCCATCCCACGAATCTAGGTTGTCACAGAGCACCGAGCTGAGCTCCCTGTGCTATACAGCAGGTTCCCACTAGCTATCTATTTTACACATGGTATTGTATTTATGTCAAACCCAATCTCTCAGTTCATCCCACCCTCCCCTTCCCTACCTGTGTCCACATGTCCGTTCTCTACATCTACGTGCACATTTTCAATAAACAATGTGTACAGTTTTTGTAATTCTTTTCTATTTCCTCATGTTTTGTTTATAACTATATTTTTGAAACAATTTTATCTGCTACATCTAATAAAAATATAAGCTTTTACTTTTATCTTTCATTCACAGTTCCATATCTCTGTTTTGAGGTTTTGTGGGTTTTTTGTTTTGTTTTTTTTCATTTTACAAAAGAAATGGTCAACAAAGGATTGAAAAAAATTTTAAACTTGGTCCTTCACACCAGAAATGGTCTGTGAAGCACTGCAATATGGTATTTTAACTTCCTTTAATTCCTGGTTAAAAAGAGTTCATTTAATTTTTATTATATGTCATTTCATTTAAAGGACAAATAATTTTAAATCATATATATATGCTGTTGTATTAAAATGTTTACATATATTCATAAATTTTGATTACAAAAGAGTGCTGAGCTTAATTACATAACAGTGGATTAAAATGCCTGTTTTTGTTTTTGTTTTAGGTGGTAACTCTCTCCCTGAGGATGGATTTTCTTCCAACAACTTCACAAGGATCTGCGTCAATTACCTTTATTTGACTTTGGTTATTTCTCTGAGATAGGTTACTATTTATTCCTGTGTCGGTTGACGAAGTCAATTTAAATGATTAGCAGTTCATCTGCCAGTCTATACCTGCCATGAGGTCTGGCCTAGCCATGAAATGATCTTGGGCCCACTTGTCCCACAAACATAGTTGTGTGAAAACTCAGGCTTTGGAAAATTCAAAGCTTCAGTTCAAATGAAACCATATCCAAGCAGTATGAGCTATAAAACTTACTCTGACTCACGGTCATCAGATGCATTTTTTTCATGAATAACGTTAGAACATCCACATTTTATAATGAATAAGGTTTGATGTAATACGCACTCTTAATATATGTGAGAGATTTAAAAACACTACTTCTCAAGCTTGTCTGAAAAAAATAAAATGTGGAAGATGAATCAATATGCAATTTCTTAAGCAATCTACCATCCCTCAGAGACTATCTGAAATTTTTTTATTTAGCAAACCATGTCATCTCAATAAACTCCTCCAAACATGCTGGCCCCAAAGTTCTGCTGGACTGGGAAAGGAACTCAAGTAGACAGGCTATCCAATGTACAACTCTGGCCTCCAGTTCCCAATGGTTACTGGAATATTTTTAATTCAATTAGAAATGAAGCAATTTCTACTCCAACATCAGTTTTTGTTTAACTCAGAACCCATTAAAAGTCTGACCTTCCTAACAAAATTCCAACAAATGTCTCAAAAAAGAAAAAGACAAAAGGGGGGTGGGGGGGAAGTGGGCAAATCCCAGTTTACAGAAAAATTATATAACAGTCTAACAGATCAAAAGATGCTAAACCAGGCTTCCCTGGTGGCACAGTGGTTGAGAATCCGCCTGCCAATGCAGGGGACATGGGTTCGAGCCCTGGTCCAGGAAGATCCCACATGCCGCGGAGCAACTAAGCCCGTGTGCCACAGCTACTGAGCCTGCACTGTAGAGCCCGCGAGCCACAACTACTGAGCCCGTGTGCTACAACTACTGAAGCCCGCGTGCCTAGAGCCCGTGCTCTGCAACAAGAGAAGCCACCGCAATGAGAAGCCCGCGCTCCACAACGAAGAGTAGCCCCCACTTGCCGCAACTAGAGAAAGCCCGCGCGCAGCAACGAACACCCAACGCAGCCAAAAATAAATAAATAAATAAGTTTATATTAAAAAAAAAGATGCTAAACCTCACTCAGAAGAAAAATGCAAAATAAAACTACACTCACATATCATTGGACTAGCAAACAAACAAAAAAAAAGTAAGATAACACCATGTTTTGAGGATATAGGGAACCAGGGGTTCTCATACATTGCTAGTAGCAGCAACTCAACATGGACAACTGGGCAAAATAAACCAAAATTATAAATACACACTGAAAGACTGTCTGTAATGGGAAAGATATGGACCAACAATATGTCTTGATGGACGTGCTTAAAAATAAATGCAGCTCTTGGAAAAAATGAGAACGTTCTTGATATACAAATATGAAATGACCAGTCTTGAAGACATTTTAGCAAGTAAAAAACACATGGTACAGAAGTATATGCAGTACCATATTTTGAGGGAGGGGAGAAAAAAATACAGTTAAATATATATATGCAAAGCACAATCTGGAAGAATATATCAAAAAATAGCATAATAGTGGTTACCAGAAGATTTGGGTGACTGGTGGACAAAGGAGGGATGGAAATTTCACTGTTCACCATTGTGTACCTTTTGATTTTGAACAATCTGAATTCATTACTTACAAAAAAAAAAGCTTTTTTATACATTTATTTATGAGAACACAGGTAACTAGCCAAGTCCAAGTCCCAAAATAGGGCAAGCCTATGGGATCCCACTTCAAACCTTCACTAAGAGGAGAAATGCCATATTCTGAAGGTTCTCAACACTCATCCCACCTACAGAAGGAATAGACAAAAACATGGCCAATCAACAATACTGGCCAGGGCTTCCCTGGTGGTGCAGAGGTTAAGAATCTGCCTGCCAATGCAAGGGACACAGGTTTGAGCCCTGGCCTGGGAAGATCCCACATGCTACGGAGCAACTAAGCCCACGTGCCACAACTACTGAAGCCTGTGCGCCTAGAGCCCGTGCTCCGCAACAAGAGAAGCCACGACAATGAGAAGCCCGCAACGAAGAGTAGCCCCCGCTCACCACAACTAGAGAAAGCCCGCGTGCAGCAACGAAGACCCAACACAGCCATAAATTAATTAATTTTTTAAAAAATACTGGCCCAAGAGGTCTTTTTTGGTTTTGTTTTTCTGGATCTTGAACTTCTAGGGCCACACAAACCCCAGATAATCCTAATTAAAAAATAAATAAAATTAGTATTTGATCTCTACAGTTAAGACTAAGGAGTAAAAAAATAAATCATGACCAAAGATTGACATCAAATATATACCATCCTTTTCTAACTCACCTTGTAGTCATCTTGGACTGCACCCAGTTTCCAAATCCTATAGATTTCTTCTCAAGCGTTTAACTTCCTTCTCCCTACTGCCTTGACCCTTGTTCAGCTCACATACCTCTTAGCATAAGCATTACAAAAAGCATATTAACTTTTCTCCCCAAATCCAGGCTGTCATAAAACAACCATCTACAAAAGGCTGCCAAAATAAATCTCATAAAGGACAATGCTAATCAAGACAAACAGCATGCCAAAAGACATGAGCAGGCAATACATAAAAAAGGAACTATAAACTGGATATCCAATATTAAAGAAAGAATATTCAAAGAAATACAAGAAAAAAGAAGAAAGAAATCTAATTAGCACTGTATTGCCATCATAAACTGATGTACCCGTTTTGAAAAGGAATGTGTCAGAAAGTACCAAGAGCCTTAAAATATATAATTTTGTATATACCCGCTCCCCAGAGATACTTTATATATGAACTAGTCTATATATAGACACAAATAATAGTACCATGGATTCCTCTAAAGAGTACTGGGAGACTGGAGAAGAGGGAGGGGCAAGGATGAAAGGGAAAATTGATTTTCTCCTAATAACATCTCATATTTGAATTTTTTTTAAGTGGGTACTATTTACTAAAAAGAGAAGATTTAAGTTCTCTATCTCTGGGACCAACATGAATGTAAATTAACTTGATTATCAAGGGCAGAAGAGAAACTCAGAATAAAACACTTTTTTTGCTTCAGGGACTTTTATGGCACTGATTTAAGGTCTAAATCTTGACTCTATTTCTCAAGATTGTTTCATTTTCCTACTGCATGTGATGACACTATTTTTTTTTTCCATTAAGCCATTTAGAACACTACCACATGTCCCGTTTGCCTCTGCTGTTGAAGTTTTTCACTGTAGATTTACTTAGTCTTTTAGAAGCAATTGAAGGAGGAAGGAAGTCATGGAATCCATTCATCTTAAGAGAAAGGCTTTTCGAGAAATCCAGCCCTTAAGCTATAGCAACTGATGAATAAAGAAGCATTTTGTTGCTCTTAACATCATGAGATTGAAGGTTTAATGCCTCATTAAATGAGCTCCAAAACATACTTATTTCATCTTTGACCCAGTAATTCCACTTGAGAACATTTTCTACCAAAATAATTTTAAATACAGAAAAGGTTTTATGCCTTTTATGCTGTGTTTAACATAGGATAATTTAGAAACCAAAAATCTGGGAGCGACTTAAATACCCAACATAGAGAAATAGTTAAGAAAATGATAATCTATGTGTTTACGATCAACTGGTTTTTGAAAAGGGTGCCAAGGCCATTCAATGGAAAAAGGACTTTTCAACAAATGGTGCTGGGAAAACTGGAGAGCCACATGCAAAAGAATAAAGTTGGACTCCTACTGCACACCATATACAAAAATTAACTCTACATAAATCAAGCCCTAAATGTAAGAGCTAAAACTATATAAAACTCTTAGGGAAAAGAAAACAGGAGTAAATCATAATCTTGGATTTGGCAGTGGTTTTACATATGACACCAAAAGCACAAACAACCAAAAAAAAAAACCAGATAAACTGGACTTCACCAAAATTTTAAACTTTTGTACTTCAAAGGACACCCTTCAAGAAAGTGAAAAGACACGCAATCTGATAAGGGACTTGTGTCCAGACTATATAAAGAACTCATACAACTTTAAAATTTCTTTAAAAATTTTTTAATTCAACTTAAAAATGGGCAAAGGAATTGAACGGACATTCCTCCAAAGATATACAAAGGGCCGATAGGCACAGAGAAAAGAAACTCAACATTATCAGACATCAGGGAAATGCAAATCAAAACCGCAAGATACCATTCCACAACCAATGGAATGGCTATAATCAAAAAGACAGACAATAAGTGTTAGCAAGGATATGGAGAAATCAGAACCCTCATATCCTGCTTGTGCAGGCCACCTTGGAAAACACCTGGCAGTACCTCAAAAAGTTAAACAGTTACCACATGACCCAGCAATTCCACTCCTAGGTATACATCTAAGAAAACTGAAAACATACGTCCACACAAAAACTTGTACATGGATGTTTATAGCAGAATTATTCATAATAGTCAAAAAGTGGAAACAATCCAAATGTCTATCAACTGATGATGGATGAACAAAACGTGGCATAGTTATATAATGGAATATTATTCAGCCATAAAAAGGAGTGACGTACTAATACATAATACCACATGGATGTACCTTGAAAACATTATGCTAAGTGAAAGAAGGCAGACAACAAAAAGCCACATATTATACGATTCCACTTACATGAAGTATCCAGAATAGGAAAATCCATAGACACAAAGTAGATTAGTGGTTGCCAGGGGTGGGGGAACAAGGGGAGGGGAGATCAATGGTGAGTAACTATAACGGTACAGAGTTTCTTTTGGAGGTGATGAAAAAGTTATGGAATTAGATAGTGATGATGGGTGCACAACGTTGTGAATATACTAAAAACCACTGAAATTTAAATTTAGAAGGGTGGAATTTTATGAATTATATCTCAAAAAAATCCATGTAATAGACACAATGTATAAAACATGCTTTTTGGTTAAAATCACATTTTATACACATACATTATGATCCTAAGTAGGTTAAGAATATGCTATCTTGGGGCTTCCCTGGTGGCGCAGTGGTTGAAAGTCCGCCTGCCGATGCAGCGGACGCAAGTTCGTGCCCTGGTCCGGGAGGATCCCACATGCCGCGGAGCGGCTGGGCCCGTGAGCCATGGCCGCTGAGCCTGCGCGTCCGGAGCTTGTGCTCCGCAACGGGAGAGGCCACAACAGTGAGAGGACCGCGAACCGCAAAAAAAAAAAAAAAAAGAATATGCTATTTTTTAAATGTAGGGAATTTCCTGGCAGTCCAGTGGTTAGGACTCCCAGTGCTCTCACTGCCAAGGGCCCAGGTTCAATCCCTAGTCGGGGAACTAAGATCCAACAAGGCACACAGCGCAGCCAAAAGAAAAAAAAAAAAGTAGAAAGAAAGAGATCAAAATGTTGGGCTGGGGCTGGTGGAACCACAGATGATCTCTTTTTAAATATTTCTACATTTTCCAGATATTCTTTAGTAAGCATGTACTGCTTTGTATAAGTGGGGGGAAAGCTTTATTTAAACAAAAAAGCAAATTATTAAACTCCCAAGTGTATGAAAATTCCTTAGCTTAGTATACAATGATCTCAGTCACATGGTCCCCAAAATACCTTTCATTCCCCTCCCCTACAGAGGCGAATCAAGTTGAACTCCCTCCTTCCGGAAACACGATGCCCTCTATTTTCAGGGCACCTCCAGTTCCTGTTTTCCACCCTCTCCAGTTGCTCCTTTTCCATCTTCTTGGTCCTTTCCTCTTCCTTCTCCACCTGAGCAGTAAATGCTAACGTTCCGCGGGACTCTAACCAGGCCTCTATTACACTATAGGGCTTCTTTCCCCCACCTGCCACGGAGGACCAGGGCGCACACCCTCGGGTCTCTACGAGCCTCGAACTCGGAGAAACCGCAGCCCGAGACTGCAAGGTGGGTGAAGGACTGCAAGGACTCCCTCCCCACACACAGACAGTCCCTTCCCCGGAGAGGGAATGAAGCCGCCAAGCTGCAGCCGCTGGGAGGGGCCCGGCGCGGGCCCCACGCGCGACCGAGACTCGGGGACGAGGGACGTCCCAAGTCCCTTCCTCCAGCACCGCCCCCAGCAAGGGGCATCCTGCGCGCCGCCCGCACCCGGCCCCGGAGAGAACGTCCCAGCGAGAGCGCGGCGCCCGGAGAGAGGCAGCGCACGTCGGCGGCAAGGGCGCGGACAGCGTGAGAAAGAGAGACACTCACCCGCGTCAGCCCCGAGCCCTCACAGCACCGGAAGTAGTCACCCACCCGTTGCCAGGGTGAGGAAGCGAAGGTGACGTCAAGGTTTTTCATTGGCTGTGAGCATAACCACGTGGCCGGAAGCAGGCGCCCACACTCTGCTTGGTCTCCTCCCTCTGCCCCGGAGTGGTTCACCTGGTCGGGGAGGTGCAGGGAGGACACCACCTAGAGCCTCGTCGTAAGCTGCGCAGGCGCCGTTGCCTCTCTCTCCTCACCCCGCCTCTTAATGAGCCGGAAGGTTGTGATCTTATCTGGGTGGTCGGCAGACTAGCGATGTGTTGCGGAGTGAAGTTAAACTAGTCATCATTTATTGAGATGTCACTTAAGAGCTTAATTTCATTCAATCCTTGCAGCCCCCCCACACAGTAGGGAAAACTAGAGTTCTGCCTGGATTACATGTGAGAGGAAAGGGCTAGCCTTGCCCTGGGGAGAAGGAAAATGCCGGTGGCCTTTCTTTTAGCCTCTAGCATCTAAGACCAAGACCTAGTAACATTATGTAATCTCCTTAATGTTTCCTTGTAACTATTAACATGAATAGTTACCATGTAACTGTAACCGAAAGTGGGATCCGGCTGCTTGCCGCTCAAAAGCAAATAAAGAAGAGGCAAGGTTGGTGGAAAGGAAAGTTTGCTTTATTTTGGATGTTGGATGTTGGCAAGCGGGCCGGGGGGCAACGCCTGTCCAAAGGCCAACTTCCCCAGACTGACAATCAGTGAGCAAGAGCTTTTATAGGTGAAGGGAGGGGGCTACATGCAGAAACAGCACAGTCAGCTCTGACAGTCATCTTAATCATGAGGGGATCTGACCAGTGTTCATCTGGATTGCTTTAAGTACAGTCAGTCTTCAGTTCCAGGGTCGGTTTGTTCCCATCTCCTTGAGGCCAATTCTTGGAATTGTGGCAACTTATGTCATGGCTACAGTCTGGTCATCATGTAGTCAACTTCTTCCACCTGGCGGGGGTTTCAGTATGTACAAGACAGCTCACAGGATATGGCTCAGAATATGAACAAGACAGCTCACAGGATATGGCTCAGAATATTATCTATAGCCTTTGAGAAGGAACTAAAGGTCCCTGACTATGCTTAATGACTAAATTATTATTATTCGGTCTCCTTTGACTGTTTTCCTTTGTTTCTGCATTTTCTCATTTCTCCGATTAAACTTATTCTTCAGCTAAAGTTTTTCCACAGACAAAAGGCAGGCTGAGGACATGGGGGCAAGGACCATAGGGTCCTGCTCCATTTCATAACCACCATTAAACCTGTCTTGGGAAGCAGAGATTAAAAGGAGTAGTTCTGGATAGCTCTCAAAGTGTGGTCCTATCACCTGGACTCGTAGCAGAAATGTGAATTCTTAAGCTTTACCCCAGACTTGCTAAATCAGAAACTTTGGGTTTGGGACCCAACAATTTGATTTAACAAGCTGTCTGAGTGGATCAGACACAAATAAAATTTGAGAACCACTGAAACAGAGGGACTTTCTCTTTAGCCTAGTTGCAGAGGTGGGTTGGGGAGGGTGATGGAAGGAGTGCCTCAGAAGGAGGAGCAATCAAGATGTGTACCTCCAGCAATCAAAAATGAGAGTCAGGGGACTTCCCTGGTGGCCCAGTGGCAAAGACTCCATGCTCTCAACACAGGGGTCCCGGGTTTGATCCCTGGTCAGGGAACTGGATTCCACATGCTGCAACGAAGTATTTGCATGCCACAACTGTAGATCCTGTGGGCCGCAACTAAAGATCCCACATGCCGCAACAAAGATCCCACATGTGGCAACAAAGATCCCGCGTACCACAACTAAGACCCGGCACAGCCAAATAAATAAATATTTAAAAAAAAAAAAAAAAAGAATAAGAGTCAGGAAGGCAATTTGGGGCTAGTATGGGAGACCCCAGAACTGAGTCCCCTGGGATTCCTAGATAAACATTTGTGTTAATTGTACAGGAAAGACTTTTCAACTGCTAGTAATTCCAAATTCATTTTATTAACTTTTGTATTCTCCAACGTATTTTTCTGCTAATATTTTTCTCTATGAACAAAAAAAAAAGGGCATAAAAAGGTCTACTGTGAAAGTTATCTATAAAAACAGAATTTTAGATTTAAAATGGAATGTAGGACCCTATATTAAAATAAGTGGTTTAAAAAAGAAAAAAAATGTGTTTAAGTCAGGATAGACAGAGGTAGTGCAGTGGTTAAGAGCAAGGTTTCTAGAAGCAAGAGAATCTGTGTTCATATCTCAGCCCTACCACCTACCAATTGAGTCACCTTGAACAATTTACTCAATCTTTCTGTGACTCAGTTTCCTCACTTGTAAAATGACGAAAATAACAGAATCTCTCATAGAGCTGTTCTATGGAATAAATAAGGTATGCGAAGTACTTAGGAAAGTATCAGGCCCATAATAAGTAATCAATAAATTTTACTTAAAAAAAAACAAACATTAAGTTCAGGCTTGTTACTATAAAATATGCAAAGACTCAAACTTCTTTCTCAAATAAATGACACAATGGTATTAAATAAACCAAAAATGTCCAGTTTGCTCTTGGAGTAACTGTTATTAAAATTTGGAAAATAAATTAGTACTGTGCAATTGGAAGGTAAATTCTATATAATATAGACATTCATGTATTGAACAGATAATTAATTAGATCTTATGCATTATACATGAGAGGTGCTGAGGGTGTGAAGGCTTGAAAGAAGGATTGGAGGGGGCTTCCCTGGTGGCGCAGTGGTTGAGAGTCCACCTGCCGATGCAGGGGACACGGGTTCGTGCCCCGGTCCAGGAAGATCCCACATGCCGTGGAGCAGCAGGGCCCGTGAGCCATGGCCGCTGAGCCTGCGCGTCCGGAGCCTGTACTCCGCGACGGGAGAGGCCACAACGGTGAGAGGCCCACGTACCGCAAAAAAAAAAAAAAAAAGAAGAAGGATTGGAGGACCAGAGAGGTCAGCAAGCAGTCAATTCCAGAGCCAAGCACACCCAGCCCCAAAGGTGACACAATCAAGAAACAACTGTACCGATGAACCGGTTTGCAGGGCAGAAATAGAGACACAGATGTAGGGGACAACCGTATGGACACCAAGGGGGGAAAGCGGTGGGGGTGGGTGGGTGGTGTGATGAATTGGGAGTTTGGGACAAAATAGATAACTAATAAGAACCTGCTGTATAAAAAATAAATAAAATTAAAAAAAAAAAAAGAAGCAGCTATACCTCCACAGGTGTACATATATAAGGATAATAGAGGCCAACTTGTCCTCAGGTAATGTACAGTTTAAATCTTATATATGCGTGTGTGTGTGTGTGTGTGTGTATGTTCGGTCCCCAGACCATGTCAGGGGATCATTAGTATCAAACTGTTATTTTATAATAATACTAAGATATTTATTTATCTTCCTATTCTCATTCTCTTACAAGCGTAAAATGTGCAAAAATTTCATAGATAGGATTTCAAATTTCATATTGCAACTAACTTTTAAAAAACCACCACCTGTTCAGTTTTGGTGTACTATCCAAAAAAAGTATGCACAATTATCTGATAAGGCCATTAAAATATTCTGTCCTTCTCCAGCTACAATCTGTGGGAGGCTGGATTTTTTTTTACATACTTCAGCCAGCACAACATATCACATCAAATTGAATTCAGAGGCAGAAAGGAGAATATAGCTGGCTTCTTTTAAGAGATTTGCACAAATGCAAAAGATAACACTTTTCTCTCTACCTTTTTTGTTTGTTTTCAGAAAATACAGTTATTTATCAAAATACAGTATTTATATTAACATGCAATGGATTTATTTTTAAACAAAAATATTGTTTTATATTTTGGTTTTAATCTTTAATACGGTAAATATTAATAAATATAATCCACATGAACAAAATATCTGGAGCATTCTCAATTATTTTTAGGAGCAAAAAGTTGTCCTGAGACGAAAAGCCAGATAACTGCTGATACAATTATTATAAATTTAGTCTGTATAGGATAGTAGTTATTTGGAAGGACTTTGAAATCAAATAAACCTGGGTCTATCTCCTGGATGTGCCACTTACTAGATGCCTAATATTGAACAAGTTACATAACCTTTCCTAACTTTGTTTTTCTTATCTGGAAAATGGAAGTAACAACCTACTTCATGGGATTGTTCGAGAATAATTAATGTAATGCATGTAAAATATTTAGCATATTGGCATTGTATAATAATAAGTGCAATGAGTAAGAAATTAGTACTTGACTATAACAGATGTAACATATAAAAGTATTTGAGAAAGCACAGGAATAGGCAAGGAAAAGTCAGGAAGAAGAGACAAGCATTTCAAGCAGAGAGAACAGCATATGCAAAACCACAAAGACCTGCAAAAGACTGAATTCTGGGAACTCTAAATAGCTCATAACTAAGGGATCATAAAGTGGAAGAAAGTACTAGCTGTCATGTGAGGAATAAATTATGGAGATCTTATGCCATTCTGTGGAGTTTGGATTTTAGCCTGTAGTCTGTGGACAGCTACCATATCATTTTGAACAGAGTAGTGACAACGATCATATTTGCATATTGATACCCCTCCCATCTAAAGGTGTGTCTATGTTCCCTCCTTTTGAATCTGGGCTGGCTTTTGACTTGTAGGATAAGTGACTCTAGGTGACTTCTAAGGAAAGGTCACAGAAGCAATGCAGTTTGTGGTTCCCTCTTGGAATACTTTACTCTTGAATCCCAGCCACCATGCTCTGAGGAAGCCCAAGCAGCCACACGAGGAGACCATGTATAGATGTTGTGACCAGCAGCCCCAGATAAGATCCCAGCTGGCAGCCAGCACTGACTGCTGGACCAGTAAGTGAATGGGCCTTTGGAAGATTCCAGTCCCTAATCCTGGATTAACTTCCAGCCTTCTGTTCTTATGGAAGGTGGTTTGTGTGTTTCCCAGTGTAGGCTGCAGACATCATCAGCAGAGACAAGCCTTCTCCACATGTCCTTTCCAAACCCTGATCCACAGAACCCGTGAGCATAATAAAATTGTTTTTGT